GTATTTTTACTTAATGTTGAATCATTAGTTAAATCATGTGCACTTTTTCCCGTTCCTTTTTGTTTGAATGTCTATAAAAATATTAAATTAAGAAAGGAAAAAACAAATGAAATATATCTATACCATTGAAATGTTTGTTATTTCTTCTTCATCTTCTTCAGCTTCATTTCCAAATGAAAGAAGACCATAATTTCTAATTATAAAAAAAAAACAAAGGATTTCAAATTCTTGTTTTAACTTCATAGAAAAATTCTACTTGATTGCTTTAGCTTGTACAGTTTCTTTCGACTTTTTATTTATTTCATCATTATCATCATCAATCATTTGTGATTTAGCTCGAGGTCAAAATACCATATTATCAAATGGATTTGATATAATCTATATACATATAAAATATAATCTTTTAAAACTTTAAATTTTTCTCTCATTTTTTACTTCTGCTTTAATTATTTTATGTTTATGTACTGGTATTTCACCAATAATTTCTCCTTCACCTAATTTCAACATATTAAATAATGTATTACCAACAACTTTGTCAAATAATGTATTCTTTTTATCAAGTTCTGGAGTACTACCCAAAGTAAAAAAGAATTGACTAGCATTAGTATTTGGTCCTTGACTAACCATACCAACAAGACCACGACGATTAAAACGTAAACGTGTATGAAATTCATCCTAAAGTTTTTTTTTATATAGAAACAAAATAAAATTTAATTTAATTCATGATTTACTGCAAAGAATTCACCTGTTCCAGTTGAAGCACCACCTTGTGCAATAAAATTTGGTACAACTCGATGAAAAGCTGTACCATCATAATAACCATCCATACATAATTGAACAAAATTTCGACATGCTAATGGACATTCTTTAGAGAAAAGTTCCTAAAAAACAAAAAAAAGCCATATTACTATTTCACATTTATTATATAGGGCACTACAAAAGTGTTTTTTTTATTCGTCCGACTTTCCTAAATGTTGTACATTGAGATCAATTGTTGAACTTCTAAACTTTCTAAAATATCTTATTCTTATATTTCATTCCGATTAGTTACATAGGTGAACATGTTGCAATTGAGATTGGATATTTCGTAATAAGTTCAATGTTCTAGTTATTAAAAATACACAATAAGAAGACTAAAGGGATTCGGTATACAAAATCATATGAAATTATATGTTGATCGAACATCTAGAACTAAGACTTGATAAAAAAAACTTTTGTAGTGCCGTTTGTAAAAAAAAAAAAAAAGAAAGACACAAAATTCCGTACAATTTTAATATCATCAACAGTTGTATCTAAAACAACTTTGCCACGAGTAGCTGACTCTTGAATGTAAATATTACTCATCTAAAACATCATTAATAAGTAGATGTAAATATTGACTTAATGCGTTTATAGATAGAAAGAGATTCTCTTTTTTTTTAATTTAACTTCTACAGATGTATTAAATTAATACTATGTATAAGATTCTATTGAAATCCATTTGGATTATTCGATTGCCAACGCCATAAATCTTCGCCTATAAAAGAAAAAAATATAATTTGAAATCTGTACTTAAAAATAAAAACTTATTTACACATTTCATCTAAATTTCGTTGAGCTGTCCATCCAAGTTCTTGAGCTGCTAATGTTGGATCAGCATAAACAAACAGTTGCAAGATCACCTGGACGTCGAGAACATTCTTTATAAGATATTGTTTTGCCTGATGCTTTTTCTAATACTTTAATCATTTCTAATACAGAATAACCTTTACCAGTACCAAGATTATAAATCTAAATAAGAAAGAAAAAAATAAAATTTAAATCATTATCTATTACTAACTTTTAAACCACAATTCGTTTCAAATTGTTTCATTGCTGCAATATGACCTATGGCTACATCAACAACATGTATATAATCTCGAACACCTATACAAATTCAATAGTTTTTTAATGATAAGAAGATAAATTATATTTATTTGCTTATGTTTACCTGTACCATCTAGAGTATCATAATCAGTACCAAAAATATTAACATATGGTAAACGACCAACAGCTATTTGTGCAATGTATGGCATAAGATTATATGGTTTACCAATAGGATCTTCACCAATTAAACCTGTTTTATGAGCACCAACAGGATTAAAATAACGTAAAAGAATGATAGAGCCATGCGGGGCGAATCAAGAAATTTTTTTACACTTTTGTCTTTTTTGCTCTATATCTTCGTCATTTTAGAAGATAGAAAAAAATTTTCTTCACAAACAATGTAGAGCAAACATTTTTCTTGAACATCCCGTTTTCAGATTTTCAAAATCTCATCGGAAACAGACTCTACGCCGGTTTTTCTGAGAGCACCTAAAGCATTCTTGATTCGCCCCAATTTCGGGTGAATCAAGAATTATATATATATATTGGGGCGAATCTAGAATTATAGTCAATTTTAGCATTGACAATAAAATCAAAGTTTTTCATCCAATTTTATTCCGATTTCGACCAATTTTTCACTAATATATAGCTCAATCATTTTCCTACAATCTTATCCTAGTTTCATCAAATAGGTCTCTAGTGAACTCGAGTACGAGATCTTCTTTTAAGACCACCAAGAAAAAAAATTTTATCGATTCGCCCCATTTGGGGTGAATCAAGAATCACATATATATATGTGGGGCGAATCTAGAATACCAGCTATTTTAACTGGATATAGTAAAATCAAATTTTTGAATATATCTTGATACATTTTCAAGTCACTGTCTCTATCAAAAATGTTCAGTTCATTTAGTTCTACAAGACTATACTAGTTTTGTCACTTTGTGACGAGTGAAAAGATTTGCTTTTAGCTAAAATCCAGTAAAAAACCCATAATTTTTGTCGGATTCGAGGATTTTTGATAACCAATGTCGATTATTGATTCTTAATAACATTCCATTAGCATTCTTATTCAAATCTATATATGATGAGAATATCTTATTGAATCTTCATAGAAGTTACAAGTTATACTATGAGTAATGAGGTTTATTCAGATTCTACGAGATTAAATTTACAGTCACTTTAGACTTTTTTGAAGCACATTAGATGCCTAGTTGCGGGCATCCTCGTATTATCGTGGTAAGACAGGTATGAAAATGTGAATACCAGTGTCCCTCAGGGCAATCTTTTTTCGGGTATCTGTTAAGTGTGCATCTGAACGAATATGTACACAAAAGGTAATTTAGGGCACGAAATTAGACTCTTTATATTTTTCTTGACCAATAACAATGTGTTGTGTTGAAATGAAAGGAAGCAAGATGAAGATAGATGCATAGATATGGCATTAGATTCTAACAAGAGTCCTATTAAGAGAAGATAAAGGTAAAATCACGAATAAGCTTTCGCATTAATCTTGAGCTGATCTAAGGAGCAGGAAAATTCGCTTTTACGGATAGTGGATGATGACATATGTACTGTATATTTGTGAAAATAATCAATATTAGTTATTAAAATTCATGAAAGTTGACTTAAATCTGTCTAAGTAGTTATTTGAGCGGTGAATCGTAAATGCTAATAAATGTAGGTATGTGATACTTTGTGAGTTGTGGTTATATTGATTCGCTATTCTACCACAAGTCGATCGAATGCACGACTGAAAAAAAAGATAGAGTGAGATTCTACACTGTTTTGAGGTTATCTTCAGACAGTTAATAAACGTGCGAAACATGAACATCAGTCAGTGATTGATTAACTTGAACAAAGTTCAATAAAATGTTCAAAGCCATTCCTAAATTTTGCTTTACTAATACTGTGGAAAATTGAACCTTTCATTTTCAATAATTTGTAGGCGTGCTGAACTCTTGAATTGAAGATATTTTGCCTTGTTACTAACTGTAGGAGTATTTAAAGTTTATGTCAATATCAGTGCTGATTTCAAATATTCGTATATTTCTTTTGATGTAAACATAATAGCAACTTTTTTTAATTTGTTATTTCAGAAAATTGAGCAAGACAAGAATAATTGAAATAAGATTTTTTATTTTCTGTCAAGTTTACAATAGAAAAAACAATACAAGGAAAAACTTCAGAAAATTAAAAATAATCGGAAAATCCCTCTATCACTTACTTTTGTAATTGTTGTATCCGACCTCATTCTGAAAATATACGATTTATCGTCTTTTGACATCCGCATCCTAGCTGCATATTTACATTATAATACAATACAATAATTAAAATTAATTTTTAAATTTTCACACAAGACCTTTTGAAATAAGTGATTCTTTCTTTATAATTGATAGCGTTTTTAAAAAACCTGTTTTTTTTTTCTTTTTACACTATAGACACAGTATCTTGAATGATTAGATGATGCTTCCAGCTCAATTCTGACTTTATTTTAAATTATCATGATAAAAACCAGCGTTTTTTCTGTTTTGATAACAATTCCAATAGTTTAAGAGAGGTTTCGTGAGAATATCGAGCATCGCGCCAGAGGGTTGG